ATATAGTTATTTTCTATATCGCATGGTCCACTATTATATTTTGGTTATATACTTATATACTAGGTCTTATCCCTAACACTTGCAAATACGTACATTCACTCGACTACTTAATTATTTTGGTATATGCTTATTTTGTATATAGTTATTTTCTATATCCGCATGGTCACTATTATATTTGGTTATTTACTTATATACTAGGTCTTATCCCTAACACTTGCAAATACGTACATTTCACTCGACTACTTAATTATTTTGGTATATGCTTATTTGTATATAGTTATTTTCTATATCGCATGGTCACATTATGCGTATTTATTTTGTTATACGCCCTTTTTGTAATGCATTTTGTATATTTCATGGCCATTATTGTTATATTTCAATTCTATACTTATATACAAGACCTGAAAATCCTACAGGTGCACTCGAGAGTGCCTGGCGTATTTATTTTTGTATACGCCCTTTTTGTAATGCATTTTGTATATTTCATGGCCATTATTGTATATTTCAATTCTATACTTATATACTAAGACCTGAAAATCCCTACAGCTGCACTCGAGAGTGCTTGGCGTATTTATTTGTGTAATGCATTTTGTATATTTCATGGTCATATTATATTTTGGTTATATACTTATATACTAGGTCTTATCCCTAACATTTGCAAATCCGTACATTTCACTCGACTACTTAATTATTTTGGATATGCTGATTTTGTATATAGTTATTTTCTATATCGTGGTCACTATTATATTTTGGTTATATACTTATATACTAGGTCTTATCCCTAACACTTGCAAATACGTACATTTCACTCGACTACTTAATTATTTTGGTATATGCTTATTTTGTATATAGTTATTTTCTATATCGCATGGTCACTATTATGCGTATTTATTTTTGTATACGCCCTTTTTGTAATGCATTTTGTATATTTCATGGCCATTTTTGTTATATTTCAATTCTATACTTATATACTAAGACCTGAAAATCCCTACAGGTGCACTCGAGAGTGCCTGGCGTATTTATTTTTGTATACGCC